GGTTAGAAAAAGCGGAAAGGTGGTCAGCCCATGAGGTGACGTCGTGAGATGAACGGTATTTGTGGTAGGTTAGCATTGGTTGGTGCATCATGATGCCCTGGTTGGAGTCCGAGAGATAACTCGAATTGGTGACTCTAAATGTTATCGGATATGGCTAAGAATCGCAAACGATGGCGAACGTGCTACAATTTCCTTCCTTCCTCCCTTTCTGTTAATAATTGACGAATGCTGCTTGAGTTTACTAAATATGACTGTTTTCCTTCCAGATGATGAAGTACTCTATCTGTTCTCTACCTGTATTTTCAACTTTTATCTCATAAGTTGTTTTATCACTATGGGGTGGCGCATCTTCTTAGTGCCATATTGTACCAAGTTTTTTGTGTTGAAATAAACAAATAAATAAATAATAAGTGGACAGCTGTTTTTTCCTCTTCCGGGACTTTCCAGCAGTACTCACCCATGGCCGCATCAGTGATCGAACTAAGAACCTTCAGATACAAAAGCGAATTCGTATACTACCCAGCCACTTGGGACAGAACTCGATGGCCTATCAATTATAGCTTTTGTCAGTTCGAGATATAGTGTGACCGCTAGCCGTCGTCATCAGTGGGTTTCTGTCCTCGTATATGCATAACTTAAAGCACCCCCATCCTGTAGTCAGTTACAAGTGAGCACTAGATCAATTTTCAAATATTGGTTTTACTGGGAACTGATTGATTTCGACTATACTGACGAATCAACTCTAGTTGGAGAACTACTGAACACTAAGATGTGCTGGACAGCTGTTTTGTCCTTAGAATGAGCAATCAGTGTCTCCTTCCCAAATGGCAAAAACCGTTTGTATACCGGGATTATCAGTTTAGTCATTCATTAAAAGTTATTAAATTCATTTGCTTATTTTTGTGTGCTTTATGCTACTGTATCAGGTTGAGATCAAAAAAGAAGTTGTGATAATGCTTAATTCGTAATAGATGCTTGAAAGAAGATGAATCCCTTTCCACCTAAAATTTGATAGCTGTCGATTTTTGATTGGAATGTCTTTAAAAAGAAGTGCGGAAAATTTGAATTGCCTTCTTTACGTTAAGTGCGGTAGATTTTCAAACTGATTTCAGCTCTAGCAAGACTGTAATGCCTCTCCATTCCCGACTGGTTTTGACATCCTCATCCATGTCGGCCGCCTCTAGTTGAAACGATGATGTCTAGATAGATGAAGAAATACCCTCTTTCAAATTCCTTCTATTGATAGTGATTGGTGTGTTGCTGCTGTTCACCTTCGTCTTCACTATGTCCACTTAAAATCCTGTATCCACTGGCTGCTCTTTCTACTTCAATTAAAAGCCTTCACTGGGTTTTCCCTCCTGGATCATTTAATATGTGGCATTAGCTACTTACCAGTTGCTGATTAACATAAACTTGAAAATGCTAGCTGTCTAAACCACACTTTTAAAATACAGCCTGCTGCCTCAAATGGATTTATCCCACGTCCCCACATACATAGTTTTATTGATAGGCTTCAAAAACAATCACAGTTAAGTATGCTTCATAACACTGTGTATCTACAAGTTAATTTATTTTCAAGTGATGGTTTGTAGGGATTTGATTGGTTTCAGGATTTCATCATGAGCTGACATTAGTTAGAGAACCACTGGAAAATTTGGGAGTACTGGACAGCTGTTTCTTCCTAGTTTGGGACTCTTCAACAGTACGCACCCACCGGGATTCGAACCCAGGACTTTCCGGTTACAAGGCGAGCTCGTATACCATTAAGCCACTGGTCCTTGAATTCTAACTTCTGCCAATTCACGACAGAGCGCATTTTATTTTTCATTTGATCTACTCATCAAGATGACTGATTATATCTGAAACCCTATCGATGGTAGTTCAGTAGTAGGTCCGGGTTAGACACCCCACCAGTGCACTCTCAAATCTTGCCTAGTCGGTTGTAAACCTGGTAAAGTGTGAAGTTGAGAAGTGGGGTTAGGAACCACACCACTTTTGAAATTTCATACTACCTGCTTGAAGCCCTCTGTTCCCCTAGGTACGTAAATGGATGGAAAAGAACCCAACTCTATCAATCATTTATGCAGAAGTGTAATAAGTTCTTCAAAATTATGGTCGTTTGCTAACTGTAGGTCTTATACCTTATATATATTCCAGTATTTCATCATGAACTGATATCGATTGGAGAACCATTAGTAAACCATCTGGAAATGGTGGACAGCTGTTTAGAACTCTTTACAGTACAAACCCACCATAAGGGTCCCACCCCACAACTTTCTGGTTACAAGATGAGCGAGTTCATAGACCATTAATTCACTGGGATCCGATCCAATGGCCAGCCCATGAATTCCAACTCCTCCCAATTCATGATATACCGCGACCACTAGGTAGATAGTTATTTGGGTTCTAGTGAAAAGTCATAACCAGTAAGTCGGGGATGTGAGGACAAATACCCGTCACCAATGACATTTGCTCGTGGTAGCGTCATATCGTCAATGGCAAAGGTTGGAATTCATGGGTTGGCCATTGGATCGAGTCTCAGTGACTTCATGGTCTCCGAGCTCACCCTGTGACCGGAAGGTCCTAGGTTCAAACCCCTCGTGTTGGGTGCATACTCCTGAAGAGTTTCAAACTAGGATGATGAAGCAGCTAGCTGTCCAGTACTCCTAGTAACGTTTCTTATGGTCCTTTAATCGATATCAATTCATTATGAAATCCTGAAACCAGTCAATCAAATTCTTACAAACCAACACGTGATTATAATTGTTTACTAAATTTCGACGATTTAAAGGTATGGATAAAAAGGTTTAAAGAGTGAAGTAATTTTAAATATCTGTCAGTTGTCTATCACACACCTGTGAGATGTGTCTATAAAAGTAACTTTTATTATTCCCATGGATTCCGAGTGCAATATAGAGGACTTCAACGACACATCTCCATTCCACCCTGTTCTTTTCAGTCCTTTTTGGGTTGCCTATAATCCATCATCTCCTTGTCTACGTCACCCTCGGACCCATGCCTAACTCGTCGCTTCCCATTCAGGTTTCACTTGAAAATCTAGTGCGCTATGTCACCCAGCGGTTTGTTCAGCATAAGTCGAGTCCATCAGTCTCCATTGTCTTCAGCATATCTGTTGACGAATAGGTTCTTGGATGGTTTATTTCCATAGTTTTCTGCTGTTAGTTTTTCCTTTGACTAGCCATTTTACACTCTCTATGGAGCCAGGGAAGTCAGCTTTTGGTATTATTCTTCAGTAGCTCGTTGGAAATGGTTTTCGTGACGCGTCAAATTTCTGATTAAAAAAAATCTTGGTCATTCATACTGACAAAAGAATGACAATAAAATATTTCATTATTATTTTTTTGATTATAACTTGAAACCCCACAGTATTTTTGGTACAGGTATGAAATTTTCAACATGTGATATCCGTAGCCCAAATTTTGCAGGCCGACCACTGATATCAGGTGTGCGCCGGCAGGGGATCGAAACCCGGACCATGTACATGGTTAGTGAGAGTAATAACCGCTGTGCTACCGCCGCTATCGACTTGGATTAAAAGTTATGTCACGAACTCATATTACTTAGTGAACCATTGAAAAATAAAAAGTACTGGACAGATTCGAAACTTCGATAATGAAAGGAAGACGAAATTTGCAGTATAAAATGATATCATTCTATTTCACAGGTTCTCATCAGCTGCACACCCCCACCTGAAATTACAATGGTTATACAGATGATAATAACATACTTTAATGTTTGAGTGGTAGTAGAGAAGAGATACGCGTCCAAAGTGAAAGCATTACAATTATTTAGTTTAATTTTTCATCATCAATTTAAACGCTTTTAAAATTGAAAAGAGGGGGACGGAAGGGTGAGACAGAAAACAGAAAAAATTAACTGACAGAACAGTGTTACCTTGTAGGATTGTTATAACAGAACACAAGGGTCAGGCAACAGATCGTTTATTAAGGAAATCATTACGCATTTATATATTTTCATGCACATTATTATGGCTTATTCAAGCAAACAAACACAAGCTTCTGGTTGGTTGTTTTATCACAGAAAGTTAACCTTGCATCTCTTTTTGGCTGTTTCTTGAATGTCAGATCATCTATATGTTAACTGTATCCGCCTGCGCAAAATCTGCTGTGGTTGGTTGTTGAATCAGTCTTTGTTCATATTTTCTCACTACCATACACATACACATTGACGTAAAATACTGTCTACCACTTTTGGCTAGCAGCCACCTCTCACCACAGGTTCACTTAGCAACTAAAAAAACAAAAGCGGTTACAGTTTATAAGACTGAGATTTGTTCAGTGCGTTGAGATCACTGAATCAGATGACTAATCAAAATTCAGTTACCAAGGGAGTGAGAGGTTAATCACACTCTCTTTCTGTATGCATAAGTCTGGTTTAAATCGTTTGATTGCGATCGCTTAGGCGAATCGTAGTAAATTTACTTTCCTTTGTCTATTTAATATTTTGAAGGACTTAGAAATCTCTACGAGATATCCGGTATCAACAGTATGTCTGATAATTGCACTCTGAAAATACTTGCTTCCTTTCAAGCACAGATTTCTTGGAATATGTTCAGACAACCGGATAGAAACCCTTCTTTCTCTCCTTCCAATGTACTTGCTCCCACAAGTGCACTTAAATTCACTTAACGCGGTTGGAGGGGACATCAGCAGGGTTGCTGTTGGATTCCATCTCGATGGCTGAATAGTCACCTCTAAACCTCAATGTACTGAGTTCGATCGCCGGCCAGTAGGATGACGGTTGCCTATTGTTAAAAATTTTTAAACTAGGATGAAATAACTGCTTAATACTCCCTGATGTTTAGCAGTCCTCTAACTGATATCAGTTCATAATAAAAAAAATTCCTTCAAACTAACACTTGAAGATGATATTTAGGATTCGACTTTTGTGAGAGTTCATTCACTCTGTTGTTATTATTACTATTCTTTGTCTTTTTGGATTTGGTCACTTTTTCATAGAATGCTGGATTATCTGCATTACCTTATATTGGTATGTGGATAGGACAAGTATTATTCGGTTGGATATCGGATATATTATTAACTCGAAAAGTTGTAAGTGTTAGTTATGTGCGAAAATTAATGAATAGTATAGGTAAGTTGTATTTTCAACTGTGATGTTTTTATATCACTATTATTATTATTATTATTATCTTATATTTACTCCTTTACCTTCAGAAGAGAACATAGTGCTTCAAGCTTAAGCTTTGAAGCTTCACTGGTAGTTGGTTCCAAGTCTAATGCTCAACTTTCCCTCTTTACCAGGCTTACTAACGGTTAAGAGAGGTTTAGAAATGGATTGGCCGAGAATCTAACCGAGTATTCTGCAGCTGGACCACAGATGCGTTTTTATGTAGTCTAATTTCACTTCATCTAATGTCAACATCCGTTTCTTCTCAAACACATAGAGAACTATTCAATTGGTAGCTCACCGCAGTTAAAAGTTGCGATCATTGTGTGTGCGTGTGTGTGTGTGTTCGAATGATTGCTCATCGTTGAACATAGATAGATAATGTTCAATACCTCGAAGCAGCTGGTATAGAAAATTGCCTTTCACTTAGCTAACTGTCTATTTCTTGTTCTAGTAACCCTCGTAGATGATTTTAATTTTTCAAATGTACCTTATTTTTTCAATTTGTCTCTGTTGCATATCCCTTTGCTTCACCTGAAAATACTTGTATACATAATTACTGACAATTTGAGCTAAGCGAATCTAAGCTGTGGGCTTCTAAACTGTATGTATGATATGTATCCACATATATATATTTATGTGTGTGTGTATGTTGGTCTCTCTTTCTGTTTGCTCTCTTAGTCTGTGACCCTTTCACTGGTATGAACTTGTCTCCTTTAACAATGTATATTCCATTTATATTATATATAATATGAGTGTCTGTTGACAGTCCGTTGCTTAGTGACATATATCCACATATGGTTGTTGACATGTCTGCTATATTCGCTATGTATATTTGGATTGACACTCCATTATAATTAGCCATTCATGTTAAGACTGTCTAATGATTTGTTCCCACGCTTTGTCTGGAACATTCATATATATTTCGCATTCACAATCTTGTGATTTTACTTTACAACTACTTTACTTACTTACCACTTTGGTGTGAGACCATTTATTTTCGTCTCCTTGTGTTTGGACAACAGAAGTATCATCGCAAACCTAGTGGTCTTCTGATTTCCGCCTTCTCGCGTCAGGACTATTAGTTTCTCGACCAGTCCATAACAACAATTTAGCGACGAGTACATAACAATGTAATCGCAAGGAGTGTATTATTGTGAGACTTTCTCACTTACAATAAAACGATCTATCAACCATAATGAGCAGTTAGAGAATCACTGGAAAACCACTAGAGTGTACTGGGCAGCTGTTTGAACTTCCCAATTTCGGATTTATTACCGATACGCACCAATCTAGGGTTCAAACCCAAGACTTTCCTGTTACGAGGTGAGGTCGTGGAGCATTCAGGCACTGGGATCCGATCCAATGGCCTACTAATTCCGGTAAGAGATCTGTTACTCACCTATCAGTCTGACTGGCAGTTGTATTATATATATATATATATATATATATATATATATATATATATATATATATATATATATATATATATATATATATAAGATAAATTGAATCTTGAATAGGGTCCCAGTGGCTCAATGGTCTACGAGCTCGCCTTGTAACCAGAAGGCCCTGGGTTTTAACCCCGCAGTGTGGGTGCATACTGATGAAGAGTCCCAAACAAGGATAAAACAGCTGTCCAGTACTCCCTAATGGTTTTCCAATCGTCGTTTAATTTACGCCAACTTGTGATCAAATCCCTGGAAACCAATACTTGATAATAATGAGTCTCTACAAAGCAATAAGAAGACTCAATTTATCTTAAACATGTCAGGTGTTGACGCAATTCATTTCAGACATTCTGAATATTCACGTATTTGTCATGCATACTTTTACAGCAAGCAAAAAAGTATAATCGGTTACAATTTTTATCAGTATGGGTTAGAGTATTTATAGGTCATGATCACAGATAACAGATATTAAAATGAGGCAAAAAAAGAGGGATGAAAGTTATATTGACTATGAACCTTGAATCCAAAACTGGATTACGAAAGTATTTTTATTTTTATTATTATAATTACCCTTGAGTTCTGAGTGGAACATAGGGCTTCAACAACACATCTCCACTTTGTCTTATCTTCTGCCGTCCTCTTCAGCTTGGATCACGGTCGCCCACAATCTCTCATCTCCTCCTCACACAATATCCTCCAATGTCACCTTAGGAACACCCACTCGTCTCTTTCTATTCGAGTTGCACTGAAGAGATGGCTTGGCGCGTTATGTCATTCCATGGTCGACTCAATGTACGCCCAATTCATCTCCATTTTCTTCTACATATTTGTTGAGCATTCGGCTCTTGGTTGATTTGTTCCTAGTCAGAGTTTCTTGTTGCTAATTCTTTCTGGCCGGCTGGCTGGCCAACCATTTGATCTTCAGTATGGAGCCTACAAGCCGGCAAAGTGAGCAGCTGTTGATAAAAGTCCTCAGTGACCTGTTGGAAATCCTTTTCGTAACACGCAATGCAAGTTTCTTACCAGTATAGAGGGGCCGATTCGACATTTACTCTATTTTCTTGCTTTATATGCTACATGGAGGGAGGCACAGTGGGAACTTGGACTCCTGCCATATCTGTGCGAAGCAGTTCTACATTGAAACCAGTCAGTCAGTCAGTCAGTCAAATATTCCACCGAGGACGCACGTGAATAAAAACAGAATGGTTTATCGAAAATAAAAGATCTCTAATATTATTTTCCTTTAGCCATATATATATATATATTTGCTCTCTTTTATTTTCACATATATAGGCATGTTTGGACCGTGTATTCTTATGATTTTGATTACATTATTCGATTGTCAGAATAAATATGTCGTTGTTGGCTTATTAACATCTGGATTATTTCTTAGTTCTGGTGTTTTCTCTGGTGGAATGTTGAGTCCAATTGAAATTACACCAAAATTTTCTGGTCTGTTATTTTCTGCATCGAATTCAGTCGGTGCATTGACAGGTTTTATAGCACCCATTGTTGCCAGTGCATTGACACCAGATGTAAGTTGTTTTTTTAAAAAATTTGTGCGAAGGAGTATTCACCATTTAAATTTATGCGTTATTTGAACACTATATGCGCTATCGTAGTTCAGTCATCCAGATTTTTCGCATTGACTATATAACGGTAGAAGACGAAAGACTTAGTAAGGAAATTTTATATTTTCCCGTAGATCGATTGGACCGGAACGCTCGGTACCAGGTTGACATGTCGGCTTCTTGTGCAGATGCTTCAACTAGGTCTAGGTATTTAATTAGTATTTAATTGGTGGATGGTGAGTAGCAGTGGAATCCAGGATAACGCGCATTTCGTCCTATTTGGGACTCGTCCCTCAGCTGGATGTACCTGCATTTCTCAGTGAGTGATGATGTTCCCATCGAGGCTCGAACCCAGTTCCCATAGTTTCAAACGTCAAAGCGTTATCCACTAGACCACTTGGGCCACGAGAGCCACCTCTTGTGCAACGGGTAATATTAATTTAATTGAATTTTAGATTTTCCCGTCTGAAATAGGATGAAATGTGCATTCTGGATTCCGCTGCTAGTCACCATCCACCAATTAAATATTAGTAGAGGAATCTTTATTTGGAAATTAGTATCTCTATGTGTTCCACCGACGACATTGGTTGAGGTCACGCGAAATCACGAATCGGTAGAAGTTAGAATTCATGTGCTGGCCATTGAATCGGGTCCCAGTGGCTGGCTGAATGGTATACGAGGTTGCTTCATACTGGAAGGTTCTGGCTTTGAACTCCACCGTGTGGGTGCGTACTGCCGATGATTCCCAAACTAGGCTGATGAAACAGCTGGCTGTCCAGTACTACTTGCTGGTTTTAAATGGTTCTCTAACTGATATCAATCCGTGGTCAACTAGTAAAAAAAGTTTCTTTATAAAATATCAATTATTATTTGTTTTCCGGTTAATTTACATATTTCGTTGATTGGTTTTCATTGAACTGAAGTGTTAGGTCTTTGCTGATGGATGCTTCGACATTGTCTGTGGATTAACGCTAAATAATTTCAGTTCATGATAACTAGCGGTGGTTATTTGGTGTTATATGAAGTGTATCTGCATTCCTAATGAGTGATGGTATGAATGTTACTCAAACTCGAACTCTGCAGCCATCATTTCAGATGTCTTCAAAGCATCCATACTACTAGCTGATATGTCGGTAGAGACTGAGGATTTCGACCAAACAATGAGAAATACAGTGGTTGGTGGTGTGCTGTGCACAGAAATTATTCTCTAGTATTGGTTTGCAGGGATTAGGTTGGCTACAGTTTCGGTTACGAGATGTATTCAATGAGTGAACCACTGGAAAACCAGGGAGTACTGGACAGCTGGGGTTTGAATCTAGGGCCTTCTTCCTGTTACAAGCCGAGCTTTTAGAGCACTCAGCCGCTGAGACCCGATCTAATAGCTTATAAATTCCAACTTCTGTCACTTCATGGTATACAGCACCATCACCATCCAGTATTATCGGCGAGTAACTGTTCTCTTACCAGACTTGGTGGATCCCTCTGGTTACGGCTTCTAACTATAACTATGGGCAACTTCATGTATACAGTCAGTCGCTTGTGAGCATCAGACTAGTTATCAAGTATTGATTCTTAGGGATTTCGTTAGTTACAGGTTCAGTCTTCAAGCTCTCATTCTAACCAGAGAGTCCTGGATCCGAACCCTAGGGGAGAGGGGAGCGGGTACCGTTGAAAAGTCCTCGAAATAGAACAAAACGATTAGTTCTCTAACTAATACCCAACTCATGATCAAACCTACTAACCAATTTAATCCCTACAAACTAACACTATAAAAAGAATTATTCACATGTGTTTTCTCGAAGTTGAAGAAAAGAAAGAAAATTATGTCATGCATACATTTTTCTTTTGTTCAACTTTTTGACTCATCGTCTACTTTACGAGTAAAATGAAAAACTTCTCCCTCTTTTTGGAAGGGAACTTGCCAATTATTGATTATCATTCATTCTGTTTTTTTTCTGGTGAACAAGAGTTATATTCTCTGTTGTTTTTGTTGTTGGCGTTGTTTGTTTTTCCTGTTGCTGGCGGATCAATCAATACTGCTTAGTTACTTCTTAGTCCTGTATGCCAACTATTTTTTTGAGACAGTAACAATCAGGTGATCAGTTAATATATATATGTTTATTGCATAAGCTTGGTTTTACCAATTCTTGCCCAATCCCTCCCCTGCCTCTCCTCATCCAAAGTAATCTAATTGAGTAATTTAAACAACTACAACAGTTTTATCAGTGAAATAATGCCTTTTTTTTACTCTAAACAGTATTTTTGAAACAGTGTAGAATTTTTTTAACACACATTACCTCATATTGTCTGAAGGCGTTCTCTTTGCATTACATGTGAAGAGGCGAAATAATTAATAAAGGCATTCACACTGACGATTATAATTGATTAATAAGAATGTTAGTAAGAATAGGAATGTAAAGTTAAAATTATGTAGCAATAGTAATAACAATAACTGCATTATGGATAAGATTTTATTTTGATAAATCACACAGTGGAGTATTATACAGTAATATTAACTGATGTCCACACGTTTCGAGTACAAACTATTGCCACTCATAATCATATCAAGTCACTCACTCGCTCACACAACTTTCTTCCTTCATTTATATACATGTGTGGAATCGATTACATATTGGAATAAAAATCAATATGAGATAATGCACATTCAGAAATAATAATAATAATAATATGAGTGTTATTAATCAATTGGTATAGCAATGGGATCACCAATATCCCCTATCGTAGCAGATATGTTTATGGACAGCTGGGAAAATATTGCTCTCAGTACATTTAATCCTACTTCAAAAATATGGTGGAGATATGTGGATGACACTTTCACAGTGTTGAAAACAGAACATATCTCTAGCATCTTGACGCATATAAACTCACAAGCAGGGGGAATAAAATTCACATTTGAACAAGGAGAATTAGCTGCGTTGTTAGATTGTAAAATAAAACGAATAGAAGAAGGCAAACTACATACTAGTGTTTCTAAAAAACCGACGCATTCTAATAGATATTTAGACTTTAATTCATTTCATCCGTCATCTGTCTGTGAAGGCAGGCTTAGTCAAGTGTCTGTCTAACAAACCGAACAGTGGCAGTAAGTAGTACAAGAAAAGACCTAAATGACGATATAAAATAGATAGAAGAAGCGTTGGTATCAATTAACTATCCTATAATATTCATTACGAAGATGAGAAAAGGCCAAAAGCAAAATAAAAAATAATTGTGAAATTATTAATGATAACATAAAGAAGAGAGAATATAAGTCATCTACTATTATACCATATAAAGAGGAGACATCTGAGACCCTCCCCACGTAGGATTCGAAATAAAGCAGGAATTAGAATGGCATTTAAACCTACAAACTCACTCAGGCAGGGACAAACTCTGTAGGTTGACGCCATTAGACGAAATAATATAATTTACAAAATATCCTGCAGTGATTGTGAGTGAGGTCAACCACATAGGTCAAACTAGTAGATCGGGGGTTATTAGATTGTGGGAACATAAGAATTTAGTTAAGGTAAGAATGGTTGGCCCTGAAAAGATAAATAATTTAGAAAAAAGAGCTCAGCAATGCACTTCACGCACTAACACATAACCACACAATAGAGTGTGAGAGGGGAAAAATTCTAAAAAGTAATCTAGGTAGGTGGAAAGAGGTTGATTACTGAATTGAGTCTACACCCAACACATGCAACAGAAATGACTCAATACAAATACCAGAAATATGGAAGATATTATTACCGATATAAGCATAAAACTTGGGCACTATGGTATAGCATAACTCCATTATGGGTAAAATATTATTTTGATAAATCACACAGTGTTGTACAGTTATAATAACTGATGATGTTTCGTGCACAAACTATTACTGATAATCATATCAAGTTGATATGATTATGATTTATCAAAATAAAATCTTTTCCATAATGGAGATATCATTACTGCCGGTCAAATCAGAAGATAACAAATAATCTACACATTCTATTTCAATTCAAACATACCACAACATTCTAACAAGTAACTCATTAGGACTATAAAAACATTCGTGTTATTTCCCATCTGATTGTATTTGATCAATAACACTCATATTATTATTTCTGAATCTACATTATTCCATATTGATTTTTATTCCAATATCTAATCGATTCAACACATGTATATAAATGAAGGAAAAAAGTTGTATGAGTAACGTGGTATGATTATGAGTGGCGATAGTTTGTGCTTGAAATGTCATCAGTTTATTTTTGGCCTCATGTTAGCCTCACGCCCCCAACTTTCTCTTCTCTTACCAGTCTTATTACTGGCTTAACGGGTGTTGATATAACAAAATCTTTAATAAGAATAGTCCAGGAAAGAATAAGTGGGAATGGAATATTAAGAAAACAAGAATTAACCAATTTAGAGAGTAGAGATTGAGTGATATCGGATTGTGTAAATTTCCTTACGTAGAAGGTTAAACGAAATATCTCCATCTAAAAACTAACATGATTTGGAAAGACCAGAATAGGCCAGAGGAAAGACATAATTTAAGCTGTGTATTTAACATTCAACTTAGTTTCAACTCGAGTGCTTTCTATAGTACAAGCATCATGATAGCGAATCAGTTCACGTCAGTCGTGTTTATGTCTAAAAGTGAAATGAACAAACTGACATTTAGAGAGACTTACCTTAAGATCATTCTGCAAGGACTATTGACTTACTTCAGATGAATAAGTTATTCATTTTGGAACAAT